AGTACATGTACATATTTGTCCATTGATAATTTAAAGTTGGACCCACGATAGCCTTTTCATTTAGCACAGCTAAAAAGGAAGCTGACTTGTGCCAGTCTAGTCAAGAATGATTGGAATAATATAAATATTAATTCATTGTGTAATAATAGTTGCTATGATACTGGAGTACTGTAAAGTGATATCCTCCCACTCAGCAGAAGTAGTGGCTTCAGTAGCTGCTGTTTTTGTTGCTGTGCTAGATATGGTTAAGGAACTTGACTGGATCTAGTGATTGTTGTTTCCAATTTATGGATGCCAACCTCAGTGGTGGTGGGCAACATTACATGATTTTTTAACTAATTTTTTACTACTTGATTAGAATACTATTACTAGCCACATCCAACCACACCTTTTATTAATTATTTTCAGTTAATCAACCACAATTATAAGCATGTATGCATGTTTATTTTTACTGTGAAATGTAAAATTTGAAGTTTTTATATTTGTGTACAAGTGCATTACTTAGCAGTTTCAGTTGCAAATTGTCAATCACTAAATACCGTATACACATGTACATATACAGTATAGCCCATTGTTTTTTTTCAAAAAATGGCTCCAAAATCACCCGAAATTTTATTACATTTTCTAATACATATTGATGTCCTATGCTTTGTAGAAAGTTTGAAATGATTCCGATTAAAAGTTTTTGAGTTGTGACCATTTTTTAAAAACAGCAAATTTCTGACCCATAGTTCTCTTGCTTCTGAAATTGATAGTACCCGTGGATAGAATTTAAGGAAATTTAGTATAACAGAAAATTAGAAAAATTAACAGGTTATTTTATAAAATAGGCTTCTTGTTGTAAAGTAATGCTTTGTGATGTGAATAAATAATATTCAGTATTGCTGATACAATACTTAATACTATCAGTATTATCTCTTGATGATCAATATTGATAATAATTATTGTACATCCTTATATGGTATGTGTGTGTATAATTAGTCATTTTCTCTCTCTCTCTCTTTCTCCAGCTGGTCATTCACAGGATTCTTTTGTACTGGTTTAACTGCGCAGACATAATTATTATTTTATCATCTCTTTTATTAACATTTGTACTAAAAATTTTATTATTAATATGAACACACACAGAGCTTGCAAAAGCAAGCCAGAAGTTACAAAAATTATTGGTTCACAACAAGTAAACATAGATAATAATTAGTGATCATTGTATAGTCCGTCTAATGATATTCGCAGTCCCCAGCAACACCGTCTTTTGAATATGTTCCACCCTTATAACAACTCCCAATTTCTCCAACCACCTCTCAATGTTTCTTGACACAGCTCCCACTACCACTGGAATGATGTCCACCTGCCTTAAACTCCACGACCGGATTATCTCCAGCCTCAGGCCTTGATATTTATTAACCTTCTCCTCCTCCTTCTTTGTGACTCTACAGTCTCCAGGTATTGCTACATCTATAATCCATCCTCTCCTTTGCACTAAATCAATTATCAAAATATCAGGTTTTCTGTGATCAATATATCTGTTATTATTATTATCATTATTATTATTATTATTAGTAATGTGCTTTTATTTTGTCTTTGTCTTTTTCTTTTTTTATCTGCTCCTTTTTGAGAGAAATATATATTATTGAGAATGGAAACAAAACTGACTTGCTGAAATGGTGGAAGGTCAGCTAGAGAAAAGTTATTAAAGACTAGCTGAGGGAGAGATAGAAATAGTTGTTGAGTTGTTAATAATAAGAAATTAATTTACAAAACTCAACTGTAAATTTATGTGTGAACACACTTAATAATAACAGATAAGAGTTAGAGTGGAAGAGACAGTGAATATTAATAATGATGAAATTGATAAGCACAATATGTATGTGAGCAAGATATGTGTGATTATTGACTCTACATAATAAAAGGAGAGGGAAATAGAAAGAAATGATGACAACAAAGAGAGAGACAGTGACATGAGTGTGTGTCAGTAAGAGAGGGAATGTACAGTATATACTGGAGAAGAGAGAGAGAGAGATTGATGAGAGATCAAGAGATGTTTATGCATTAGATTTATGATATTGTAACTGATGTGTCAATAGTCCACCTTTTATCATGTAAAGTAGTGTAACAGACTACAGTACTAGTAAGATTAGTACCAGTGTACTCTGTCTTGTATGAGGTGATAGTTAGGACAAGTATTAATACAAGTTTCTTTGTGTTGCTTGTCTAGTAAGGGTTTCCTTATCTTCTTATTTTCCATTAGTGACTGGAGGATGAGTAGTATTGACTCAGTAGACAATGAAGTATTCCATAGATTCAGTTTAACTAGTGATGAGTTATTGAGGAGGAGGTGAGAAAGAGCCTGTCCACTAGTAGAAGTGATGAGTGGATTTCGACGAAGATCTAATGAGGTAAGTGTAGGGTTGTGTTCAAGTGCTTGACAGACACTAGTAACTCCTCTATCACTAATGGAGTGCTGCCAAATGATTAGTTCTTGTATTGTTTTATTATTAGTTAGTAGTACACACAAGTACTGGATACAATCATTAGTTAAAGGAGTGTACCATATATCAAGTCTCCTCAGGTTTAGTGTATGCAGTTTAGTTGATGATAGTAGAGATACTGTACTATTAGTAGATGAATAGTTGAGGTAAATCAACTCATGATTATTATTAATATTACTAATCACTTCATTACACTGAACTGGAGATGGAGAGGAAAGGGTTACCCTGTCACTGCCCAACTTCACACTCCCAGTGACTCCTATAAACCAAAGGATTATACCATAAAGGCTATGATTGTACTTATTCGCCTCGCAGGCGACTGATTAGCATGGGTGAGGACTATGTAGTTAAGTGTGTTGTCATTCATTCATTCATTCATTCTGTCCAGAAGCAAACTCTCACATTGCCAGAGGTATTGTGGTTTTAGAAGAGAGCCCCCTACACTCATGCAGGTAACTTCTCCACGCGCTAGACAAAGTTACTTTATCATCAATTAATAATTAACAAGTAAGGCATTAGGGGCGGGGTGACGAGACTAGTAAGGCACCATAGATATTAGAGTAAATGAAAGGGATCGGAAACGGACATCTTATTATACATCACTAGGAGATGGATGCGGGTTGACACTTGCATCTAGCAAAGGTGTTGGGGCTGTCTTGGAGCAAGAACTGTCGGCCTTTTGACACCTGTCATTCCAGCAGTGGTGTCAGTATACGCTATTATTTATATCAAAGGAAGCAGAGGAGACATGAATCTATCCACAGACAAATGTAGCTAGCATCATCATTTGCACTGATTATTTGTTCTGACATTAGAGTACCAAAATGTGGAGGTCACCCACTATGCTGTATAACGCTTTATTTTGGCAGCGCTTTATTTTGGCGATTTTGCTGTACAATTGTAATTGGTGGTTTTTAATTTGGCAATTTTTGTGTACACGTGCATTACTGAGCATGCGCATTAATGATTGGCGGTTTTAATATTGGCGATCCTGCTTGCAAACTGCCAATTGCTAAAATAAAACTCCGCCAAATTAAAGTGTTATACGGTAGTTTGTTTGGAAAAATGATTACTGTACAGCTGGTTAATTTTGCGGAGAAAAATTTTGCGAATCCTTAAAAAATAACCTGGTTTACGGATTAAATATTTGCGGTTTTGACAGTTATTGTAGCATTATGTATTGTGGTTATGCATGAATTTCATTATTTTGCAGATTTAAATTTTGCGCCTTAAATGGATCCGCAAACTCGCAAAATTTAATTCCCCGCAATACTATCTAAGCAAGTAACTTTTAATACATTGCTGGGTATGCAGGACAAAATATAGTTTTAAAATTATGCATCTAAAAAAATTATTGTTTTTCTTTGTTTTGGCAAGACCAATGCAACACATGTGTCTCGTATGCAAGTATGTACATAGTAATACACATATTCACATCATGTGTATATACAACACACACAACTTGCATAAACAAATACAGACATAGCTAGTAATTGTCACTGACTGACTGTATCATGTGAATGTGAGAGTTTGTTATAATGTATATATTAAGTATGTACAGAGTAAAATTTGAAGTAAAGTCAATGAATTAATTTTATTCACAATCCCTAAGTATGCATGTACACATGGCATTACATGTACACGTTCATACATAATTATACTGACTGTCACAATATTCACAAATATTACCTTTATCATGTTGTTTCTTGTCTTGTCTCAGTGCAGGTATCATAATAGGATCATCATTAATAGTCTCCAAGAAAAGAGAAGCTTTCTCATCATTACTAGATGAGTCATTCTTTATCTTCTGTAGAATAGGCAGGGACACTTCTTCCACTGACAGTATAAACTCTAACAATTGAAGTGACTCCAACATTGAGTAAACACAACTACTAGGAATGACTCCCTCATCACCAGACACCAAGGATCTTCCTCTCCAATAAAAAGTCTCAGACACCTCATATATCTCCAGCTGCTCTCCCTCACTGAATGATACTTCATCACTCTCCATTGCATGATAGTCATAAAGAGCAATAAAAACAAATTCTGCTGTTGGTTTATTCACTATTATACCAGTAATACAATAATATCAATCAGTTAATGAAATAATAACACATACTTCTTATTATATTTCTACATTTTTTATTCTCTTCTTTTTTATTTAGTATATGTACACTCATTACTGATATCTGTTCTTGTAGTTCAGCTGTTTCTCTCTTATTATCTATTAATGATTCATTCTGATCCAGTAAACCTATCATAGCATAATTATAATACAATAACACATACATATCATTCAGTACCAGTTTTATTTGTTAATAATAATTGCAATTGTTCTATTTCCATTCTCATTCCTCTTCTGATTGTGTATGATGCTATAAATAACAAATAATAATATAAAATGATAATAAAATAATAGGATAATAATATTATAATTTATAATTTTAACCTGAACTAGTATTTCTTGGTAAAGACAGAAGTTGCTGAATTTCCTTTACTCTCATTTCTACATTATTTCAAGTTATAAATTACATGTAAAGTTTTACTACTTTTACTTGTTAAAGTTTCTTCTAATTGTTTGTTTGTTTTTATTTCTTTTCTTAATTTTCTATTAATTATTGTCACACTTGTATCAGTTGATAGTATATCTGTAATATAATAATTATTCATCAATAATAATACTGGTCAACAAACATTACATTAATGTACTACTATACCTTGATTAATTACTGATTGAGGTGTTGCTCCTTCTGTTTCTTTCTCCTCCAGTCTTGCTACTCTCTCTTCCTATTAAGTTAGTTTAATAAAATAATCAAACACAAAATATTATACCTTTGTATCATGAGGTTGTTCCTTTATCTCCTGTACCTCCTCTTCCAGTGGTTCCTGTATTTCCTTTATAATACAGTATATAATGATAATTACTGACAGTATATATACACACATATACTTGTATCTTTTGTTTCTTCCATATTGTGCAGTATCCAACAGTAAGCTTCGTTAGACCATTCTTTATTAATAATTCAAGATTCTCACTCAATTCTATAATGAGAGCTCTAGTGAGAGAGTGAGGGAAGGAACAAGTGACAATGATGGAGTTTCCTTTCTTGATGTATTTTATTTTTGCCAGTTTACCAGATGTCTTGGAAACAATTTTTTTAATATTCTGTAGCATGTGCTCATCTGGTTCCCAGTCAAAGACATATGCAACTGTTTCACATTGAAGGGAAGGACTACCTCCTAATGCTTCAAACTTCTCATTTAAGCAAAGACTAATCTTTACTGTGCGACAAAACTCTTTTAATATGCCATTATATTCTGTGACATATTTTTCAGCTTTTTTGATTTTGAACTGTTCAACAACTGATTGAAGTAGCTTAATATCAATTAACGAACACTCTTTCTCTACTACTCG